AGCCTGTATCATGTGGACACTTAAGGAACTACAGTTTAAAGCGCATTTCACATTAGAGATTGCCACCTTGGATGATTGGGTTTTACATTACAGTTCCTTTTAGCTGTTACAGTTGTACACCTCTTATGGATATTGTGCCCTCTCAAAAGACACTGAACCCCAAATTTTTCCTGTGTAGAACAGCTAACCACACAGGTATGACACTACTTTATTCTAAGTGGCGTCCTCTTCCATCATGTGACATGAGTTGTAATATGACAGCACTTCAATAAGATGAGAATTTTAAAAGCTATACAGCAAAAGTACACTTCATTTATGTTATTAAGATTAATATTTTCTCATTGCTGTTGTTTTATCTGAAGAGTTGTTAAATATTTTGCTATGTCCAAGTTGATTTGGCTTTAAACCATTTATTAACCTGACTTGATCAGTCCTGCAAATATACAATTGTTCTAAAAATTGACCCCAGTTTTAGAAAGCAATAAATCTTTATTTTCCAGGTAGAAAAATGCTTTCACATTGAAAACCTATAATACAGGCTACCTAATAATGATATGAAGTCATGATATAACTGTAACCTTGAACTGTAACATAGATTTCATCAAGCCAAAATTACTACATTTGTTCTCAGATGTCAAATTTTCATTAAATAAATGTTCATTGCAATAAAAATGACATTTCATGAGTTATTGGCTCTGACCCAGTCTACTCAGCATCTCCTATCTCGTTACTCCTTCCCGTGTAACAGAAAACCACAGAGGGGCTGTGTGTGGGAAATCACATTGAGTTTTCTGTGATGTGATCGCTCTGAGAGCAATCAGACCACAGCATGTCTGACTCACCCTAACTCCTTAATGTAGCAGACCAGCTTATCAGCAATCTTATTATGGGAATGCAGGCAGAGTAACAAGCACCAGAGCCAGTTTTACAATGTAATCCTATAATTCTGCCTCTACACACAACAATTCCATGTAAAGGTGATAAACGACAGATTAAAGTGATAAATATGCCCAAGTTTGTTGTAACTAGTTGACAACAGATTTGGTTTGTCTTCAAAAAATAATGTAGTGAAAATTGCTTGTAAGCTTTCATTTGTCATACTTTAAAGCTCTGGCTTCACGTGTATTGCACTTGCAATACAAAACCAATCCGCATAAAGGACCTCACCTTTGCCTGCCACAAAAATATTTTTTCTAATAGTACTCTGGGTCGGTAATCATTGTGGCAAAAATATTAGTTTCTGTCCTGGGGTGGTCTTATGAGAAGGGAAATAATGACATTAACCACTAACTGATGTGAAAGGAGCTTTAGCAGTGAATGGGCAACAACTATCTCTGGAAAGTGGATCATAATCTTGTCCAAGATCCAGACAACAGCAGCAGAACTTTGAGTCGTAGTCTTGCTCACCTTGTTTGAATTCCAATTAACACTGCCACCCACTCACTATATACATAACCCCCTCATGGTTACGCTGAAATTCTGTGAACCCTATAACAATTTCAGATAAATAAATTTGTCATCCAAAATTATAACAGAAATTTGGCCGCCATTAATTTCAAATAACATTAAATAGAGACATCCTTGTAAAATATTATAAGATTACCTAAATTAAGTGACAATAAGCCATCAAATGTCACGCTGCTTTTACAATCAATGTCTAGGACTCAGCTTGAATCTAAACACAACATGGCAGACAATGACAGTAACTGTTTACAATCTACTGCAATGCCAGTAGGTGATTACCTTGTGAAAAATGACTGAAGAGAGCTTGCGAAGAGGTGAGAGGTTGCCATGGAAACATTCAAAGGAAAGAAGATCCATTTGCCAGGATCTTAACAAAACATCTGACTCAGCCAAGTCATAACTCGCAGTGACAGCAGGCAGCACACTACAGTAAAACCGTTTACTGTATCCTGGTGTGATTACTGGCATGCATGATGGATCTGGACAGTTATTCCATTAGTTACAGCTAGTTGGCCATGAATAAAGTGACAGTTTGACTGTGTCTGTTTTTCCTTTTCTTACACCAGCTTGCTGAAATAAGAGTAGTCAGTACTTAAGGCTGTAAACGTACTTTAACATTATCCAACACTACACTCCAGTATATCCATTTGGCCACCTTTGACAAACCCTCCAGGGTCACTCGCAGCTGTTGTGGTTAAAGTTCATGAGTTAGATCATGAGGAACCAGTTGACTGGCTGGGGGCTCCTGGTGTTTCATGATGGTGAGACACAGGGATAAACACATAAACATATCAGTCTGACTGAAATGGTAATAAATGGAATTTCTCATAGTTCGAACAAGAGGCTTTCACTATGCAGTTGGGGATGTTTCTGACCCAGATGTCGAATAAATAGTTTGTGGGAACTAACATGTTTTGCGATTGTTTTCAATGTACTTAATGTACTCCTATTAAGACAAATGGAGAAGTGAGCGGCTCATTTTGCAACTCATGAATGCTCACTTGTAGTGTGAACTCACACAACACTGTTTGCTGTATGGCGCAATGCTATCATTAGCTGTGACCTCTTGGTGGCCCATTGGTTATTCATTTTTATTATTTAATTTAATTTTTAGTATTTTTATATATTTTTTTTCAACTTGAGGTGTGAGCAGAGCCGGCCCAAGGCATAAGCGAACTAAGCACCTGCTTAGGGTCCCGCAGCCAGTAGGGGGCCCCCAAGAGCAATAAAAAAATTATAAAATGCATGTATGAGTGATGCTTTCTGTATGATCAAGTATATATTATTGTAAAAACAGAATCAAGTAAAAGCATTGTAGTGCTGCTGCTGATTTAGGCCTATGATTCTTACTGCCGATACGTCAAAGCTCCGCTACCGTTATGTGCCTTCTGCTGTGCAATGTGCGCTGAGCATCCTGAATCTGTTTCATTTTAAGATTAAAAACCATATGTGACACCCTGAACATCATCCATCAGTCATTCACTGGTATTATTTGTATGGTTGCATTGGTATCATTTATGTTATTACCTATGCCATCCCCTTAAATGTATAAAGACATGTCAGGCGCATTAAATTTAAAATGTAGTAGGTGTGTGAATGATCATCAATCAATATTATTGGCAGAAATAGAGGGCCCCAAAATCAAATTTTGCTTAGGGCCCCACTGAGGCTTGGGCCGGCTCTGGGTGTGAGATTTGGTTTGATGTTTCTCCATCAGAGGAAAAATTGTTACTTTGTTGACAAAAGTGATTGGAAATAAATTCATCAAATTTAAAGGTTTACAAAGTTTGGTGTCCATACTACATGTGTGCAAAGTTTCAAATCACAAGGTAAATGTATGTTGTCATAATCTTAGAAAATAGATTTAATCTGCTCAAATATCTGTTTATTTGGTAGATTTACCAAAATTCTGATTTAAGAATTATAGGCTCACCTTCAGCGGAGCAGGTTAACCATAGATATAATAGATAAATAAATAAATAATGATATATTAATACATCACTGTTAGAAATTTGAGGCTTCTTTTAATCTAAGAATCATGTCAAGCTAAAAGAACAAAGAAATATGGTCTGAAAAAAACGTATGATACCCCCCCTTTAAGGATTTTTTATTTTTACTTTTGAGTGAGCAAATTTGTTAGAGCAAAAATTTGTTTTTCAGGGATGAATCCCAAAAGCAGCAGATGTGCTCAGGCTAACCCATGTCTCAGTACCTCTGACATCCTCCATCCTTCGGTCCATTAGCTTTATGCTGCAGTCAATGGATCATTAGGCTGCATCCGTTTAAATAATGCAAAAAGAGCAAAGCGGTCTAACACCATACAGCTGTATCTGCCTCTGACCTCTTGACACAGCAGGAGCTAACTAGGTAAACAACACATTAAGCTTTCCAAGAGACTTGTGCAACAACTGCTCCTGATCCATGAAATCTGTGAATACAGACATGAGTGCAAAGGATATAACCATGGTGATTTTGCTCTAGTTAAACTTCCATGGACACATCACTGTAAATGTAATCTGGAGGTTTTTATCTATCTGAAATATGGGGAACATTGTGAGCCACTTTCTCTTTACAGCACTGAATTAAAAAAGAAAGAAAAACACATGAACAAAGACGTATAATATCAGTCTTCCTCTGCTTCATTGAGCTCCGCTCCTGATGACTAATAGTAGGTAGAGGCAGGTAGAGGTTAGCGCTTTGTGATTTGACTTATAGCCGACCACAGCCCTGCCCACGTAGGGAACCGATCAGCCAATGATTGGACGCATCTCAAGTAGATGCCTGTGTAAGTGAACCAATGGGAGCCGAGCTGCTTTGTTCCCCCTGCCTGCATGGATCTGTTTTGCGCGCACATGTGACCACAGAAAGCGCTTACTGATATTTAAACACCATCGATTGGATGCTGAAGTGGACAGCACCCGATACAGATAAACAAACCAAAACACAATGGATCATTTGGCTCTGTGTCATGGAAGCTCTGAGGCTCTCTCCTCTATTTAACTCTTAGTGAAGATCTCCATTTTTTCACCCCGCGTGTGAAACATCAGTGGACTTAAAGCAGCGGACTACAAACGCGCCGTGTTTTTTTCCCCCCACAAAAGACAGTCACAGGCGGATGTTGTGACACTTGTAGCTGAATCTGGGTGTTCATCCAATTAAAATAAACGACCAACACAGAGAAGGCGGGAATGTTTTTCCATCAATTTAGCGTCTGCCTTGCATGAGAGGAACTCCAGTGCTGTTTGATCTCGAGTGGGGAAGCGCAAAGGTAGCCCAAAGCCATTTACGGACGCATTAATTTCTAAGCCGCTCTCGGTGCCTGCTTGCAGACAGGAAGGAGCATGGATAGAAAGGAATTTGCTCTGACTGGAGCGTTGAGGGGATTTGTAGGGATGGGGGTGTGCGCCTGTGGAAACTAAACCAAGGACAGCTGGCTAACGCAGCGTCACTGACAGCTCGCCATTGATCTCCAAAGCTCGATTTCTTTATTATTTTGTCTTTTTTTCCCGACGAGACGGGGCATTTTTTATTAAGTCATGGGGAAAGAGGAGTGCAAAACAATGCTGGACGCTTTGAACAAAGTGACAGCCTGCTACAGGCATTTGGTGATCGCACTAGGAAGCACTTCTGACTCGCAGAACCTGCGCGAGGAGCTGAAGCGGACCCGCAAAAAGGCCCAGGAGCTGGCTGTGGCCAACAGGACTAAACTGACCTCTCTGCTGAAAGACAAGAGCATCAGCAAAGAGGATCGGGCAGAGTATGAGCGACTATGGGTGTTGTTCTCGAGCAGCATGGAGCTCCTGGAAGTGGACATGAAACGCTCCTTGGAGATAGGGCAGGATTTTCCCCTCAAGGTACCCACGAGACACCTCATCCAGACCGGGATGACCGGCAGCACCACTGCCGTGGCGTCCCGGGCCATGAGCGTGCAGAATATGAAGTACGAGGCGGACAGCAACATCGACACGGCCGACCTGCGAGACCTGCAGACCGAGATCACCCAGGTGAGCCACATGATGGAGGAGATGGAGATGAAGGTGCAGGTGGCGCCGTGGGCCGTGGAAGCGAAGCAGGAGGCGGGCGCGGAGCTAAAGTCCAACATGAGCGTAGGAAATTCCTCCGTGGGTGTTATCTCAATCTGCGAAGAGGAGCCAAAGGATGAGGAAGCAGGTGGAGGCAGGGACACTGGATTTGCGTCGATCTGCGCCGTGTTCGTGTTCCTTGTAATCGTGGGGGTTGCTGTAGTTTTAGGATATCTGGTCATCAACATGTCCTGAACTGTCTGAACCTGCAAGCCCACAGTGTTGGACACGCTGCGCGGCGGAACCAAGAGAGCAGGCAGCTCCTTAAAGAGGGAGAAAAGGGGTTTAAACATTTTACGCACGAAGGTCTGATCTTTCTCGGATTTGAGAATGTATTCGGTTGAAGTCCAAGAGTTGCACTAGATAAGATGTAGACGAAAATAGCCAGAGTGGACGCTTCAGGGCACAATTTGGAGTATTTTGAGATGCCAACGGGTTGTGTTAATTTTTGGAAAAGGGTGGAAAGTAAGTCATGAAATTACGTGACAGTGTCTGCCCATCAGGATGATATAAACAACACGTAATCCAAGTGGATTAGCGGGAAAGCTCAAGCGTAAATGTAGCCTACTTTTAAGTATTCCCCCCTTGATGTTCTGCTGATTGTTGCTTTCAATTTATGAATCCAATCCAGCAAAGTCAGCTGTGGAGGGACCGTGTAGTCTGAGCTGTATAGAGCTCATATACAGTAGTATGGACACTAATAGAAGCAGTGTTACAGCTAAGCTCCTCACATCACACAGGCTGGATGTGATCAAATCTGCACTGTTCCACACTCATGTTAGCACACTGTAATACTAATCTGTACAGCCAGGTTACAGTAGGCCTGTATATCTTGACCACATTAAATCACAACGTGATTCATGACAGCCTTTGACCTGAGAGACACCCACTGTCTTTGAATAATGCACCCGCTCACTGTAAGCCTGTTCATGCTTCTCCTTTTACTTCAGGGTTTTTTTTGTTGTTGTTTTTTTTGCAAACAGTGTTGAATGTATACATTGCAACATGTACATATAGAGGGTTATTTGTACATACAGAATGCTGTGTCAGATAGTGTATATACATAATTCTATTTAATATAATAAAATTTTCAAACACTCTTGGAAACATATTTGAAATTTGAAGGAATATCAGTGAAGTCAGTGTAATTTTTGCACACGGACAAAGAGGGTGAAGTTTTTAAGAGAAAACTGTGAGGAGGTTCGATTAGCCCAGTTCATATAGGCCTGCAGCAGATGCACACAGAGATATTTTCAGTGAGAGATTAGTATCTTAATGCCTTGGCGTTAAAATAGTGTTTGGTTTAAAATGGAAAACAGACTAACATAGATGCTTTAAATCCCTAATGGTTTTACATGTAAGAGCCTTTGAAGGTATTCTGGGAAGAGAAGGCTATGTAGGTGAACTGAAGCCTGACGTCTGTCAGAGCCAGAGCCTCTGTAAGGTGGCTGTTGGCGAAGAAGGGTTTGGTGTCGGGGAAAGCTCTCAACATGAACTCAGGGTCAGATGAGAGGTAGTTTCAATGTATAAATCTTATTAAGGTGATAATCAAGATCTGACCTCTCAGCTGTAAGACTCTGAGCTGACAGAGGTCAGTGTACACATTACTGATCTGACTGCAACAAGCTTTGGAAGTCAGAGAATAAGATATGGCTTTAAAGATTATGTGTCCCTTTAAATTAATATTTCTAAAAGGTTGAATAAAACATTGAATTTTCATGGCAACATACTGTATCTTAAGATTTCCTTATCGTTCAAAATTTTTTTAAAACAAATTATATTTTTTACATAAAGAACCTATGAAACAAAAACTGAATGATTTAAACATTTAGTCCAAATATGGTGATTTTTTTTATTTTATTTCGGTCACCTCATGTCTTCCTTAAAACTGCATTAAAGCTCCTATCAGGGTCTTTTAGCTGGGTGTGAAAGGGGCTGAAATTGGTTTTGTTAGCTCTATAGGACCTGCACAGACTAACAACAAAAAGAATGACTATTTCTATCAAGTGATTTTTAATATCTGAGCCTTTATGATCAACAACATGCAGCTGATGTGTCATTTTTCACATGTTCTTGATGAGTGATACATCTGACCATCAAAATGAGGCAAGATACTTTTTTTTTTGGGTCAAGGAAGCATTTTACAAAATCAGCGAAAACCACTTTGTCCACAAGCAGTGCCAAAATTGACACAAACTAAAAGTTCTGCACAGGAGCTTTAATAGGTGATTCAGATGAGTATGTACGTGGTTCCTAATGGTTCCTCAAGGTTCTACTATGAGTTTTAAAGTGGAATTAGTCACTTTGCAAGATAAAAAAAACTACAAAACCCTCCCCAAATTATTTCAAATATTTTATGGTTTACCTTACATTATTGAATTTCCAGAAAAAAAGGAAAACCCCACACAGAGGAAACCTGTTTACAACATTGATAATATGGCTCAATAATAAAGCAGATACATGCGTAAAAGCTTTGCTCTAAAAAGGAGTGAAATTAAGGTTGGAATAGAACATACATGGGAAGTACCTCTGTTAAGCCTATTAAGGAGAAGTGTTTAATTACTGATGCTATGATGCGACTAAGGACCCATGTCTCTGTTTCTATCTTTGACATAAGCTTGTTTGTCACTTGGCTGCTGTTGTTGATTTTAGGTTGCAAACAGTGACCTGAAGATCCGTGCAGCTGAAACCACAGTTTTTTGTTTCTCCTTTTGGTCGTAACAGACAAACTGAGTTACCACTAAGCGACTGCTTCACTGGTATTTCAAAGAACAGTCTGTAAATGCTCGCAGATCAACAGTTAAATTAGCTCTGAATTGACTCCAGTGATCTCCTCCCCCAGTCTTAAGGAGATTCCTCTGATAATTGTGCGCGGTAAACAGACCCCTGGCATTTAAAGTGCATTTCAGCTTCCAGATGCAGGCTGTTGAAGCATGTTGTCTCCAAGGATGGAATTTAATTATGACAACTCACCCTTTCTGAACAGGGGCCTAGCTTCTTGTGGAGAGCATGCCACACAAATATTCTTCTAGGATTCAAAAGATGGCAGGTGTAAAATATTTGCAACCTAATAGGTCATGACAGCCATCCTTTGGGGCATTAAATGTTCATCCAACTGACAACCGTAATGCCTTTTCTTGTTCTGCTCTGTGTTTGATCCTTATTGAGACTCTCCGTTTCCTCACTGCCACTTAAGACTAGAAAATTGTAGTGAAATACAAATAGTACATTTAAAACAAAAGAGATGACTCAACTTTACGAACACCAAGGGCACAGAGCTGAGAAAATATTTAGGCGTCACTTTGATGCCTGAAAATCAGCGGCACGTTCAGCTCGCACCTAATTCACAGAGGGCTTTGTGAAATCTTGTTTATTCTTGTTGTCCTCTCACACAGGCACTAAGCTCTGCTCACAGTGAGTCAGGAACCTCTTGAATTTCACGGCGGACTCACATTGTCATCCGGTGATCCAAAAATATAAAAGCAATTAATTAAACATGGGGAAGAAAAGGGTGGAGATCTAAATAGTGCCGATGTAAAGCTTCCTGAAAGGCTACTCATTTTTTGTCCTTTGTGCTTAAGAGGAGGACTGCTCCTGCAAAAGTCTCCCTTGATGCAACTTTGAGACTTTTCAGGTCTGTGGAGATGATTTTGTTGCAGTCTTGTTATGTAAGCTGCTCCTCAAAATAGCTGCAGCATGAAAGTTTTAGAGTATTTTCTCTTTTTCACAAAACAGGTATAAAAGCAACGGCTAACAGGTGAGTAGAATTTCTCCGCAGTCGTGTGGTGGTCTTCGATTTCATAGAGCATTCTTGTTCACTTACTCCTGTCGCTTGGAAACGAATGGAAGTAAGCAGACTGGTCGACGGAGAGGAGTGCTAACGGCTTGGCAGAGACAGACCACTGCATCATCACCTCATCTGGACGAAGATGGTGGGTTTCCAAGGCTGTGGGGTTGCTATAGAAACCCCTCAACAGACTCTACATGGCAAAACAGCACAGAAGGTTGAGTGGTGTTATTTCAACTCACCCCCCTTTCAGCCACCACCATCCTACACATGTAGCACTCAGAGGCAGGAGGAGGACAAACAGGGGGCAGTATGAAAGCAGGGACTAAACCTGAGGTCTCTCCTCCATGCTGACTAAATGTATCACAAAGATGAAAAGGAGACTGAGAGGTGCTGGAAAAGGGAGCTCTTTTCTGGCTAAACCAAGACAAGATTTCATCACTGCCTTTCTACCTATATTTTTAAAATATAATTTCACTACAGTTTATTCAACTCTTTTCCCCGATTCAGCCACTTACTGCTAGTTTTGCTCCTCTCAGCAACCCACTGGCTGGTCACATCTTAAGTGCTCTTGGTGACTCTGCCAAAATGATGTGCAAAAAAGTCTGAAAGTTTGCTAAATATATTCATTATTAAAAAGAAAAGCTGCATTACTGCGTAGCATTCATTAAAAGCATCATGTCAGCAAGGCTACCACAGAAGAAATTGGAACCTGGTTTGTAATACTATTTCAATGTAATTGGGCTGTGATATCTTAAATTACTTAATTGAAATATCAGTTTTGTTACTGATGTTTTTTTTGCTTTGAATTTCTCTGTGTCATTAAAATCAATCCAATCCAATCCAGGTTTAAAAAAAAAAACAATAAAAAACAGACAATTGACATGAACAATAAAACAAAGACACAGGAAGAACAGGGGGGGCATAGATGGTTCAGTAAAAACATGATTGAAAGGCCAAGTTATCAGGAGTTAAAAGTGGGTTTTCAAATTTGATTTAAAAACAGGCAGTGAGGGGGACAGTCGGACATTAAGAGGAAGAGCATTCCAGAGCATAGCAACAGAAAAAGCCCGGTCTAACCCTGAACCTTAATCTTGACCTATAGGGACAGTCAGAAGGCACTGGTCAGAGGACTTAAATCAATTTAAGTCGGTTTCATGCCAAGATGATAACTCCTCATTAGAGCTTTATTATAATTGATCTAAATACTTTAAACGTCTGCTGCAGCGTAGTGAGCTTTTGCATGCTATCAAAACAACTTTGACATTTTCCACAGCAAGGATTCAGTGACAACAAGATGAGATTTTCATCACAAAATATCTTACATTTGCCATGAGGTACCACTTAGTCAACAGAGGGCGCCACAGTTGATACAAAACAAAGTTAATACCAGAAGCTTTAATATTTATGTTCTCCACAATCTATCTAACTGTTAGGAAATAAGGCATCTCTCTTCGCCCTTCCATCACCTTTCCTGGTTAAATCAAATGAGGTCTTTCATTGCAAAAAATAGAGACATCACTGGGTAAGATGAATGGTACAACAATTTGCATCGAGTCTTTTACGACCAGTTTACTGATTTTAATTGTGGTGCCTTTTTGTTCACTATACAGCGTCCCTTAGCACCAGCTCTCCTAAATTCAGTGGCACTTAACACAATTTTCATCACAAAATTAGTATTTTTAGAACAGACCTTGGAGCAGTAGTAGTGAATGTTTTGTCAAAGATTTAGCTTATTGTGCAAAAAAAGGTATTTACTGCCAAGATTAGCACAGATCCCCTAAATAAGTTTTGAGACAGCATCACTGAGGAAACACCAAATTAATAATGAACAAATTAATCTTTTAATTATAAATGATTTCATAAATGCCAGACACAGGGTACAACCCATTTGACAAAGATTATTGCTTATGAGGTGTCAATATCCTTTAAAGGGCACCGCTGTGAGCAAGGAAGACACCCAGAGGAGACAGAGTGGATCCCCTGCAGAGCCTCCTTCACTGACATATGCGCCCCCAGTGAGAGGGACCACCATAACCATAACATAACACACATACACACAAACAGGCTGATGAGCTGCAGGTGTTTCCTCTGAATCCCTTTGATAATTTTTATTTTTAGTAGTCAGTCTGTCACTAAGGTAACCAGATAAATGTTGAATAAGTGTTTTCTTTTTAGTATGCATGATTAATAACAAATATAAAGACAGAGGTCAGAATGCAAGTTCTCCGGGACAAAAATAACATTTATTGAAAATGTTACTCATAATATTTTGGATCATGAGTAGGAGGAGCAGTCTGTAGGAGTTTTGGGCCTCCTGTAAACAGTTTGGCACAATAAACAATTTAAATAGTCAGATTTAGCACAAATTATTTATTATGAGGAAAGAGCTCCTTCAATCAAACATAACAAAGAGCTCAAGCACAGATGAGCCAAATCTCAACCACTTCATGTCAGACGGCCTGCTTTACTTGCTTTTCAGTCAGCAGCAAGTATCTGAGCTGAAAAGAAGCAGAATAATAAGGCCATAAGCGACCACTTCAATCACATCATTGTTAATCACAAGTTTGTTACATAAAAAAATAATCCTTATCAGTCATTCATCACAGACATTGGCAGAGTACAAATCATGAAAAATAAATAATAGTAACAGGATAAGTGACTCAATATCACTTAGCTCCTTTAATTAGGTAATGATAGTAGTTTGATCATTTCAGAATCCTTGGAATTAGTTCATAGGATGCCTGAATAACAAAGCAACAAGTATGTTTTGCAACCTTTAACCTTGAAAGCCAGGCAATCATCACTGTTTCTCTCAATATTCTTGTTTTTCTCTCAACATTCTTGTTTTTGTTCTTTTGACTTGATATGTTCAATAGCAGTGCAGAGTTTCAGGCTTTACTGCAAATAATGTTTTCTTTAGACTTTCTTGTTCGTTCAGCGTGCCGCACAGAGGAGTTACAGAGCCCCAACAGCTCTGTGGGTGAGTCACAGTTGACTTTTTGAGTCATGTGGGGCAGCTTTCCCTATCACAGGGAGCAGATGGTTGTACTTGGGTGTGATAGTGATCTGTAGATTTATAGTGTATGGATCTGCAAACACACTTCGGTGCAGAGTGGGAGCATGATTAGCATCCTCCAGCTCAGCATCTGCGCCTTTATCCATCTGAGCTTCCCTCGAAGTGCTGGATGGATAACTTTTGTCACCTGGAAAGAGAGGAGCCCAAGAGAGAAGCAGCCAGCAGTAAAAAGAAATAAGTTAATCCATCACATACAGAAACTGTTTCATTATCAAAATCATAACCATGGCAACATGATCATAACATAATCCCACATGTCTGGACATGTCTGATGTTTTTTGTGCAGGAAAATAGGCACGTGCCGATAAGAAAAAATTGATATCACGATATTGGTGGCCAAAATATCACGATTCACGATATTATCACAATATTACCGCATTGCTTTTACAGTTATTAAAAATGGCAAAAAACTGCGAAATCACTTCTCTGTGAACAGCATGACACGCACAAACAATATGAGCAAGAGGCAGCTAACGCGACGCTGGGAGCATTAGCTTTTTGGAGCTAAAGTTAGCAGAAACGTCACTAACGTTGTCAATAATAAGCAGTAGAGTAGACCAAACTTGTTGAGGTCATGTTGTTTTTACCTTGATTTGGGCGAACGATGCTGGATGGTGTTCACGGAGGTGGGCACGTAGATTTGAAGTGTTAGACAACGGCGCTGCAACTTCCTCACGGCATAACCTGCAGATTGGTGTCAGGTTTACCTGCTCCATCTGTTTTGTGAAGCCGTAAAATGTCCACTGCCAAAACCTTTTTAATAGAAGGATACAGCCGAGGTGTTTCGTCATTCTCAGTCTCCGACTGTTCTTGGTCCGGCTGCATCGTTATGTTGGTTGGAGGTTGGAATGCGTGCGTCAACTTTTTTTTTTCTTCTTCAAACTGTTTCCGGTTCACACAGTGGACACGCTCCAAAAGTGCTTTGGGTGGCCACAATGCATTGTGGGTGTCCACGCATTTTGTTGTAAAATTTCTTCATTTTCTCTTCTAATGTTCCCGTTTTTGTTAGGCTGGCATTAATGTACTTAATTCGAGAGTTCGTTTTGGATTTGGGACTACTTTTGTGGTGCTTTGTTTGTACATTTAGCGACCGAGGCTTTGACACCGTGGGGAAGACTACAAGCGGGTTAGGTTGGTAAGTACTCGGCTTCGCTCGACTCCGCTGAGTGACGCTGCCACTTGTCTCTAAATTATAATTGTGAAACGATTATTACAGTACCGCACAATTTCATCATCGCGGCTGTTTAATATCGCGATTAAATCATATATCGGCACATTTCTACAGGAAAAAACATGGCAAAATGAGAGTTTCCAAAATCTCACATGATTGGAAGAGGACCTAACCGTCAGTGCACTGACGATTTCAGTTTTTGCTCTAATTATAAGATATTGATCGAACCGGGTCAACAGTGACCCTAACATGACGAGTGCCATATTTTTAATAAGAGCATTTTATAATTTAGTCAATTTAATTTTCTTTTAAAAATTTGTTGAAATAGAGGTTCCTAACAAAGTCAAAAAGTCTTGATCCAAAAAAGCACATTTAAGTGGTTCTTTTAAGCATTTAAAATCAAAACGGGTCGGTGCAGACCCTAACACAGGAGGAGGGTTTAAAAGCATCCTTAACAGGAGCAAGTTGGGCCTACACACACTACATTTATCGACTTACTTAAAGTGATGGTGAGGTTAAAATACAGGTGGTTCTCAATGAATAAGAATATCGTCAAAAAGGTTGATTCAGAGTTCAAGATTACATACAACAGTGTGGCTACGTGGTGTGTTTTCATTTGTGTTCAGACAAAAGAAGAGCTGTGAGTGGATACCTGAGGCTGGATACACGGATACATAACCTTGAGTACAAACACATTGTTGTTAGTGTTGTGTGTACAGTGAGTGATTCATACCTGGCATCAGTGTTACGTTTTCTCCGTCTTCAGAGACAATAACAGGCAGCCAATGCTCTATACCCTCAGTGCCACGCTTGCTGGAGAAGTTGTGGAGGTCATTCAGCAGGGGAAGACGACACATGCGGCTGAGCTCATAGAACTGAGGAGGGGCGATCCAAATCTCCCGTGCCTGGAAACTCTGCAGGATCTCTGAAGGTGTGGACCACTAAAATAGGAACACAGCAGGTAGCATTAAGCAATTGTTGGGTGCAATTCTTCTTCTTTGCAGTTGTTTGCACAAACTGAAAGCTTTGAGATCATGTAAGTCTATATCTATAGCTGTGATATGACAGGGGTAAAACTTTATAAAATGTGTCCCAGAAAAGTTGGTTCAGCTTAACACTAAGAGACTGAGTTTAAAAGTAACAGCAGTCAGATTCAGGGATAACGCTCAGTGGAAAAGAGATCATGATACATTACGCTAAAAGCCATGAACTCCAGTGACTATTTACGCTCACATCTTGCATGGTTTTTAACGAATAAACTGTTTTTGTAACATGACTTATATCATGCCCAGAAAAAAGGAGGGAACATTCAGGATCAGTCTTCTGAATACTTTTAGCCTCTTAACCTAAAAATTCTGCCTACACTTATTGTCTAAAAACAACACAATCAACTAATCCTGCCCTCGAACTGATCAGTGTGTGTCTCACTACCAAAGCTTGCCTGAATAATGTGAACAAAGGCCTATCCAATCTGCATGGTATGAACAGTTTCTACTGATTTCAAGTGAGAAAACAATCAGGTACAAGTAAAACAAAAGAAAACATCAAGTGATACTAAATCCTCTCTTAGGTGGTCTGGTTGTGGGACATAATATCAACATAGTAGGTTTCAGGTAGTGTTGTTCCTCTGCTTTTACTGTCTGTCAAACAGCTTACATGTACTTTAGAGTAACACTGCCAGGTGAATACTTGACTCTTATTGAGCCAGGATCTTCTGGTTGTAAGTAGAAACTCACACTTTATCTGGACCAATTTTTTTATCATCACATTTCAATTGGAGATAGAGAGATTAATCAGCTGCTGATCATAGGGGCAATTAATGGCATTTCGACATAATGGTCACCATATCAGGGTCAGCCTGCAAAAGGTTGGTATCATCATAACCTTTTCTAAAAGAAAACACATTTTCCCTCTCTCTAACAGGATATCAAATGAAGGCAAAACTTTCTTGATTTAACCTACACTTTGTGTGTTTTTCTTGCTCAATAATGATGAGCAGGATGGCAGGACAGAAATCTTGAAAACTTTTGTGGCTATACTTCGCTAACCCCCAAATTTACTGTGAAATAATTCCCTCAAGTTCAGCTAACTTTTTTATAGTATCAATAAATTGTTATATTTTGTCAAATGCAAACAACAAGGGGGCCATCAGCATTATTTGTTATCCATCGGCTGACCTGCTTTTACATTATTAGTATTGGCATCAGCTGATACCAAACTGATAGTTGACCAGTAATTTTAATGCAATCCAATACAAAGAGCATATAGCAAGCCTGAGTCATTTGGGAAGTGGGAAAAGTATGAGCTATCTTTTTCAGAAATTGCAAAAATGTGTTGTGAAACCTTGTTGGTAAGAATTGCGTAGAATCAGGTTTCTCTGCCTTATCTGTTCTTTTTGCATGAATCATTGAACAACTGTTAACCTTTGACAAGAACTATGTGCCACAACGACCTTAAAGTCCCTCAGTTTCTTAAATACAGGGATGACACAGACACATACATGTACAAAGGAATGGTCCCTCTCTTCTAGAGGAACAAAATACAAGCATCAAACACTTTTTAACATGATGCTCTTCACTGCATCACCAATAAACACAAGTTCAGCAGTTAATATGAAGAATGATAATAACATGTCCGAATAGTCAACAAAATTTTTTTAACTGCTTTTAACTGGTTTTAGTAGACAACATCACATCACTCCAATTTGAGCCTCCCTTCACTGGCTTCCTGTCAGTTTTAGAATTGATTTTAAGATTTTATTGATTACTTTTAAAGTGCTCAAAGGGCTTGCTCCAAGCTACATTTCAGAGCTTTTAATACCATATGAGCCAACTTGCAGCCTCAGATCCTCTGGCGAAGGCCTCCTGGTCGTTCCAAAGTTGAGGCTCAAAACTAAAGGTGATAGGTGATAGCTTTCTCCATCAGAGCTCCTCGACTTTGGAATGACCTGCCAGAGGAGATGAGGCGTGTAGAGACAGTCACTTCTTTTAAGTCAAATTTAAAAACTCAATTGTACAGACTTGCTTTTACGTGATGCTGTCTTTTATCTGTCATCTCTTATCTCTTTTACCTTTCTTATTTCGATTCTACTCTCTTTATAGCTTTTGTTATACTTGTACTCTTTTCTGAATAACCTTTTAGGCTTTTTATTGTTTTATCTCTTGCTCATTTCTGTTGCTTTATTTTATCATTACTTTTATTATCAGGATTACCTGTTATTATTTTACTATCATTGTTGATATTGCCTTTTATATTTACTATCCTGTTTCCGCTTTCGTCCTCACTTTTAATTGCATTTTCCTTTTTTCTTAACAATTTCATGTTTTTATTTTGGTCCTTGTGGTTTTATTTTATTTTGCATGGTTCTTGAATTGTCTGGGTTCCTTATGACGTGAAAATGGCCTTTAATTCAGTTTTTATTGAGATTTTTGTTTTTTATCTGTCTTTTTTCAAGTGCTCTATGACAGTGTTTCTCAAATCCAGTCCTCGAGCCCCCACGTCTGGCATGTTTTGGATGTTTCCCTGCTCCAACACACCTGATTCAAATGATCAGCTCGTTATCAAGCTCTGTAATGGCTTAATAATGAGCTGATCATTTGAATCAGGTGTGTTGGAGCAGGGAAACATCCAAAACATGCAGGACAGTGGGCCTCCAGGACTGGACTTGAGAACCACTGCTCTAAGCACTTTGTAAACTTCTGTTTTTTAAAGTGCTATGCAAATAAAGTTATTATTATTAAAAATTGAAAATATATAAGCTTCATAAAAGTAGACTTTAGGGTAGAAAAACTGCAAAACTTAATAGTCTGATGTTTAAGAATCTTTAGTGCATTTTGAAAGTAGGTCTCCTTTGAGGAAAAACATCCCTGATCTCAGTTGAACCAACCTTGGTTTCGACAGTACACCCAGTCATTCATTTGTTCGTTTTCAATTTTTTTAACTCCCCCATTTCCATTTTTGGCCTTTACATTAGTTCTTGGAAAAAGGTTTGATTTCTGCATTACCTTAAAGTGCACTATTTCTCTCTCATCCTGCATAGTCTGTGGGATCTCCTGCAGGCAGCAGATGAAGAAAGCTGTGTCAAATCTGTTGGGTTGTCGCTCTTTAGGAGTGAGCCAGTTCCCCCACTCGTGTAAAGCCCAGATGTTTGGCAGCACCTCCAGCTCTCTGCACATCCTGATGAAGTTAGATGGGTTCTGGTTGACCAGAGCCCTCCATTTAGTTAGTTCACTGCTGTCCAGCTCGCTCACTTTGTTGTGTGTCACTTCATCAGTGTCCAACCTGTCCTCAAAGCCTTTTAACAAACTTTCCCCCTCCGTTTTGGACACGACCATGAGCACACCTGACTCCTCAAATGTCTCCCTGAGGGCGCATATCCGGAAGGCGACCTCCCCTGGAATAGGAGAGCCCAGCTTCAGCCGGTCTGTGGCGAAGATAGGTGGTCTGGTCTCTGGAGGCTGTTTGACCCTCCTCAGACCAAAATTTGGAAAGTTTCTGAACGACTGGAAAATGTCCAGCCATTCACTCGAAAAGTCCGAGGAGTCCACCGTGCCTCCTGGAAAGACGTATGCGTTAGGCATGAATCCGCTTTTACTGCTTCGTTTGAGCATTAAAACGTCGTAGTCGAAGCAGGACTTGTGCGGTAGGTGTGACAGACCATCGCTGCTGCTGGTCACCGGTGTCCTTGACGATAGACTGCCCGGGCCGAGCTTGTGTCCGGCGGCCAGGATGAGAGTGGCCGCCTCCCTCCAGTGCCTCAGAGATGAATTCATGGTTAAAACTTCTGAAACTGTTACCAGAAAAGTTGAAGAGTCGGGATGTTACACAGGTACATCGCGACATTTGTTTTAGCGGAAGTGACGTTATGCGCGAGGGGCACGAGCACGTCTGTTTTCAGTGTCTCGCGCCACCATAGACTGCCACCATCAGGCTGAAAGAGGTACAGAGCTGCAGAGACACAAGAAACGCAAGCGGTTAAAGGCAATTATTTCAGCTTAAAAATGTTTTTGGGCATATTCTAAAGCCAAAGCCGATCTTTCAACCTTTTTTTTTTTTTTTAATCAAAATTATAAAAAAAATGAAATAAAAAAACATTCGGTTGGCTTCTTTTGCATTTCCGTGTTGCTATGAATCCTAGAAATATATTACTGACAATAGTTTGTAAAAGCACGTAAACTGGTGATTTCTTTCTTGGAAGTACTCTGATTTTACGAGATAGTTTTGCTAAAATAATAATAAAAAAAAACAGCCAACTGTGCCACATTACAACTAAATCATCCATATTGGATTGAATAGGGGAGAGTGGAGTAAGTTGAGCCAAAGGGTAAGTTGAGCCACCCCCTGTTGTTTGGAAATGGTAAAAGAAATTGAGTCTGTGAAGGTTAGAAGCACATGGGTAAAGGGGTTAGACATTTATTTCCACAAAAAAAAAAAAAAAAAAAAAATACTTGAAAGTGAATTTAATCTGTCACAAGTGTTTTAGACCAAAAAAAAAGATAATTTTAAGTTTGTTATATACATCAATTGTGGTATCTACGAGCTACAACATCAGGTCAAAAACCTAGCATAAAAGCCCGCCATTTTAGCTTAGAGGACTAATAAAGTCAGAATAGTAGTTCTGGGGTAACTGAGAAAGTAAAGAAGTCTAACAAGAGGATCAGAGTTTCAGTTCAGATTGTTGAAATGTGTTACTTTAACTTTTCAACAATACAGCTGTGAATGTTCTGAATCACTTAAAGGCATTCTCATATTAAAATGGCTTTTTACAAAACAGCTTTTTAGCAGTTATATGCAATAATAATAAAAATAATTATTGTACCAGTTGAATAGTGTATAATAGATAAAAATACATATGAATGTTAAGAAGTGACTGTTATTTAGGGAGAGAGAAAATGAGGGAGGGCTGTGGTGGAGAGTAGGGGGGTAGTAGGGATACGCTCAACTTACCCCGCTTCTATGTTCAACTTACCCCATACACGGGGTAAGTTGACCATAGGAGACCGCTTTTTAGGCATGCTGTATTATCAAGACTGTTATGTTTACACTCATTCTGTTGGTTTGCAGTGATGTCCAAAATCTTGAAATATATGCAGATACACTAGTTAGAGACAAAACTATGATTGCCTTGATGTAGTGATCCGAAACATGAAAAATGGCTCATCCTACCCCACTCTCCACTACAAGTGTTTTCTAATTTTGTTAAAGCTCATGTGAGGTGTTTTTGATGTTAATGAAATACAAGGAAACTCATTTTGATGCCTTATTTATGATATTCAATACCGAACAATACCATTAGTGACAAGATTGACAATCAGTATACTGTTATCTTTAATGCTTGAAACAGAGGGGATAGGTATTAGCTGAGCAGCTAAAGAAGCATTTAAGCATCCCTGTTTTTATAACTTCCATATAAAATATGCACAATAAATGATATGTTTCACTGTGAAAAGTCATTATGGTGCTTTTTTTTTTTCAAGAGACACTTCTATAAAGATGAGTAGATAAATAAAAACAGCCTTATCAACAGGGTGTGTTGAACTGGAATTTTGCACATTTCATTTTAGATGGATTCTTTTTCCTGTGTGGGCTGTATCCAGTCACATTGACCTTTTCTTTAGAGGCCGCTCCCTTCCCCCATGACACTGAGAATGATTGCTCTCACCTGTTGCTGCTCTTCAATCAAGTCAGCTTGAAAACTACTGCAGACTGACGCCTCAGCACCAAAGTATTGTTTGACCCCTATGAGTAGTACAATGGCCCTCTTCTGAGCTCCTCAGAGATTAGTATCTCAAGTTTGAAGATTTATTGTTTTTTTTATTTGTTTGTTTGTTTTTGTGACTTTTTACTTACCCCTGTTGTCTTACTTTTTTCCAGTGCCTCATTCCTCGTCTCACGTCAGCCCACACCCAGCTCTCTCTCCAGGACCAATACCCACACCGCTTTTCACTTACTTCTGGACCCTCACTTGGCCCATGGGCTATGAATTCCCTCACCTTACACTATTGGCTCAAATAAAACTGTTGAACCTCTCCTAGTCTGGTTTGAATTCTTGGTCCAGCTTAATTCAATCACCATACAGGGTGCACTAAGTTGACGGAAACCTAAAGTTTTCAATGGAGCTTTAATTTCTAGTAAAAAAGCAAACATAGTTTGTCATCAAAGGTTTTTTTCGAATGTGTTCAATACTTTATATGTCTTGTGCCTTTTTTAATTTTAGACCGATGGTTTTTGACACATGTACTTGTTTTGCAAGATATGATCTTGAATCAATGAATTCATTTATACAATTTCTTTGTATGTTTCACGTATTGTTTATACATCTCACACTTAGTTGCTATAAATAAATAAAATTTGTCATATTTTACCTCTATATCCCACTACATTTAAGTTGTTTAGCTCCAGATGTTTCACATACAGTATAACACTTTTTTCCTCTGTCATGTTTTAAACTCGGTTCAAGCTCCCTTTATTTCTGACAAACCACAGTCACTTTTCTTTCTCACAGGCTTTTTTTCTGTTTTTTTCCTTCAGTTAGTTCAATTGCAGTCATTTCATCACCAACTGAATTCTTTGCGTTTGTACAGATGCTACACCCTTAAGTTGACATAAACTTGAGCTCTGCGGTAGGTCTAAAGTTCTTTTTCTCAGGGTTACTGAGTTCATATGAACCAAAGTGCTCTTGTGTCAGCAGATTCCCGTTGTTCAGGCTGTGTGTCCACATACAAAAGAATTTCAAATTGTCTTCTATGGTCATGAGTCATGTGTTTTTTTTTTCTGCAAATGCCTCAAAAGCCACAAGGTGAAGTAAGACAAAGTGAATCAATAGTTGTGGATTTATTATAACCTTTCATTATAAATGGATATAATTCAACACAAAGCTTGCCATTCATTCATGTCACAATAGATACAAAGTCACCTGAAAGTACTCATTTTATTTGCACATTGTAGTGTACATCTTTCTTTTATTTGGCCAAAGAAAAGTAGAAATTCCTCTCATATTTAGTTCAACCCCCTCTCATTTCAAAGGATATAAGAGTCTGCAACTTAAGCTGGAGCTTAAACACATGCAGACCTGGGGGGGCGGGGTAAGGGGGCCAACACAGATGATGCCTGACTTTTTTTTACCACACTTAAAACGCCCAATCAAATGTGAAATAATGAAAGGGATAATTGAAACAGATGGCGGGCAATGAATGCAAAAAACATGTTTTGGAAATGACTTTCAGCCTGTACTCTGCTTGAAATAACAGAGCTAAGTTGAGCTAAAACTATATTCAGGCATATAGTGTGTAATAATGATTCTGTCATTAAATGCTTTGATAATTCCCATTTGCACCGACAGAGATAAACTGTAGAGAATGGGAGAAATAGTGAGAGGCAGAGTAGAAAGGGAATGTTGTACACTCACACACATGCTGGGGTGTCATGTATCTTTATCAAAGAAGCATTGTGAAAGCAGTCTGGTTAGGTAAGGTAAAAAAGAGAACATGATTCAGAGTTTTCTGATGAAAATGAATACTTTACAGTAATTCGTATCAGATCAGTCACATATAACTTAGTCAGCCTGTGCCATATCTCAAGTGGGATTGCATAACTTCTATTCCCGCAACAAAGAGGCCTCGGTCATATTCTCTAACTCTCTGAAGTTTTTTACACCCGACAAACGTCATAAATCATTTCATTTGGCATATCTTAAAAAAATAAAAGAACACCACATTTGTATACACCACATTTGTATACACCACATTTGGATTAAATTTCTTTTTCTTTCTTTCCTGCAAGTCAACCCCAACTTCCTTTTTCAGCTCAGATGAAAGTATTTCATTAACTCTGACACTGACTTATTGGACACGCTCCTCTTTCTTTTGACCTGTGCTGTCTTAAATATCCAATCAGATGTGAGAACCTCCCACTGGAGGAGTGTGCTCAGTCTTGGGGAGCCCGAGGTTTTCTTTCTGCATCAGACATTCCTGCTCTCCCTCATTAAACTTGGCTCAGTATCTCTCCTGTTGCTTAATATCACTGTGCTGGAAAAAATAACTGCATTCAAGGATCATGGAGAAGTGAGCTGTTGTTTTGTCAAAGTCACATGTAAGTGAAACCTTGTTGTATAGCTGTACTTTGTATTTCCTCCAAAAATTCTTTACTTTCATGGAAGTTTAAGCTTTTCCTGAACAAAGCAGACAGTTTTAGTAAACTTATGTTTGACAAACATGCAAAAGCCATCCCATAGTTTTTGATACTCTTTATTCAAAGCATTTCTTTACACAATATGTTGTTGGGTGTGTTAGCGATTAACTCAAAAATTCAAAGTTAATAATTATCATGTATGCTGAGTAATCTATCTATCTATCTATCTATCTATCTATCTATCTATCTATCTATCTATCTATCTATCTATCTATCTATCTATCTATGCACAATTGCAGACATTTACAGTAAGATTAACCTTGTTGTAGATAGATTTTAGCTGCTTAAGATACTTGAATATAATGAATAATGAATATAAAATGTGACTAAAATGGAGATTAATCTAGGTGTCATAGTACCAGGTACCTTTTACTGTTTTATGGAGTTTTGTCTTTGTTTTGATTTCTTAATTGAGTGGTATTGTGTCTTGTCAACAGTTACACTCTCTGTTTGTAAAAAGATTTTACTGCATAAGTACTTCAAAACCACCATGAGAGTCATTATCAAGTCACCATAAAAAAGGAAGGAAAAAAAACAACACTGTGCAAAGTCAGACTTTGAGTCAGAATCTGTGCAGCAATCAGTAAAATGACAAGATTAACAATTAACAGTTTTCACTGAGTGTTGTGGTTGATTGTGCCTCATGTTTAAGGAGACAAGTAATTTACAGTGTTCTCTGGACCGTAAACCTTATCATTTCTTTTATGTTGTCATGACCTTTGATAGATGCGACAAAGATGGGGTCAGATGACTCAGCTTGTTTACAACTTAACACAAGCCCTGTTAAAGAAAATGGTTGGAGCATGAAAATGCGCTTGAATTTGAATTTTATTTTTCTCATCAGCTGTCTGAAATGGACGAAGGCAGCATCAGGAAGAGGAGGGAGGTGCAGAATGGCTCCATTGACCACACCGAGGACTGTCAAGCCGAAGACCCGAAGCCCATCAAGGCCACCGTGCTCCAAAAAGATGTGTGTGTTTTTTTAGGCGTGTGTGTCTCGTTTTATGTGTGAGAACAACCCTCATTAGATGTTCACACTGGTAGGACTCCAACATCTGTACCTCTTTATTCCGCCAGGGGCTAAAACTGAGTACCAGGCGGTACCACAACCACCATCTCTACTTATTAACACCACAGTGATCCACTTAGAGGTGTCCATGCCCCTCTAAGCTCCCTGAGCCTTTAAGTGAGTTTAGAGAGACTGAAAGAGTTTCCCTGGATTAGTTAGAACCATATTTTCAGTGTGTGCAAATAATTGATAACTGGCATTCCCCAGTTTGATTCCAACAGGATAGTTTTTAGCGGCTTATCAGGTCAGATGGGAGGAAACTTTGCATCATTAAAACCTTGCTGACAGGCTTGGAAAGAATATTTTCATACTTCTTCTGACAATGTTTTCTATGTGAGGACTAATTAAAGACAAAGTACTGCTGCAATTCAAAATATGAAATTTTATTAAAGTTCAAGGTTTAATAAAAGAAAACATTTTGGACAAAGTCAAAGTTTACCATGAGAGCACACCAAAATCAGTAAATGGCATCCTCTGGTGAAAATGTTTACATGTGGCTTGTAAGAGTTTGCAAATCAGTGAATATGTTGATGTGTGGAACATAAGTCAACTGATTGCTACTAACAAAACTCAGATGTAAGCGTTGAAAAAAACAAACAAAAAACTTTTGTTTATTTCCTGTTGTGCCCAGGTGGGTCTGTTCAGTGGTATTTGTCTGATCGTGGGGACAATGATTGGCTCGGGCATCTTCATTTCTCCTAAGTCCGTCCTGTTGTACTCTGGAGCTGTTGGACCATGCCTTATCGTCTGGGCGGCCTGTGGAGTGTTGGCCACTCTGGGTGAGAGCATCATTAAAACCAGCAACAGCCTTTATTTTACACTTATGTGTTTGACTAATGTATGTAAATCAGTTACACAATAATAAGAAAAAAACTAATTGTCAACGTTTCTACTGGCTTTGGCTTTCTGTGCGTGGTAAAGCATTTGCAATGTTAGAAATTGACTAGTGTCGGAAACTCAGTAGAAAATAAAAGATTAGCAAAAGTGAATCGTACAACCAAAAGGTACGAGCTGTACCTGTGACATTGTCTTCATCATTTGACGGGCATCCTGTTAGGCGCTTGCTAACGTGCTTTGTTAGTTGTTTTGGTACATAACAGGCCAACTGGGAGATGACCCATTTGTTACAAGCTGAAAGGGGGCATGTTGCCTCCTAATGTAACAGCAGCAGACATGCTTCTGTCAACAATACAATTCTTGCCTGGTGCTCCTAAACTGGGACAAAGACAGTAGTCCGATTAAATCAATTGAATTGAAATCAATTGATTACAGTAACTCGACCTATCTGCGCATGTGAACGCACTGAGTGTTCATGATTTAGAGAGATGCAAGCAGACATGCTGAGTTGATTCTTCAAAGTTCTGTTAATGGGCAAGAAAAGGAGGAGATAAATATTACCCCAACTTAAAAAAAAAAAAAAAATGATGAATGAACTTGAAAGTAGAGGTTGTATATTTCTACAGTTGTGAGTTGAAGTCATTTACAGTGTGACTTTAAGAACATGACTAATCAAGATTATTTTACAACTGTAAAAGATAGAAATACTTTTTTTATCTTTTAGCGATACATTGCAGGCCGATAGAAGTACTACATAAAATATGCATCATGTCCACTGTGGTAAGACATTAAGTTTTATTGATCAATAAATATGTTAAACCCTAAGCTCAGATCATAAAGTATAACTTATGTGAATCTAACCAACACTCAGCTGTTTCAGAATGGAGCAGAATCAATAAAAAAACTTTTCACTCAGAAGGTCTCTCAGTGAACTCTGACTCAGCGACCTTGTGGTTGGTGTTGTTGGGAATGAGCTGGTGGCCTTTGCTGCCATGTTTTTGAGCTACAGATGAAAAAGGCCACAGCTCAGACTTGGCCTTGAAGCAGTCAGCAAACCACAGACACACTGTTGTGTCCAGCCACAACAAGCAGCAACATATCTGAGTTCCCCTGCTGCCCATAACAAGGTCTTTGGCCTTTAACAGCCATACAGACAGACTTTTTGTATTATAGGATGGAAAAGCTGACTCATCCTGTATAGTTTCTTTTTTTCTTGTCATCGTCCAATGGAAAATGCCAAAAATCCACAACAAAGCTGTTCAGGGAGGGGGAGGGGGGTTCAAATACAGTGTAGTATTAAATATATCACATGACTCACACATCAGACATGTGTTATTTAAGTCTTTGGGGTGAAGGTGGAAAGAGTAAATGTTTATCTGCAGAATGGACGGATGAAAGGTAATTTTGCAGGTTGTAAAATCTGCTGTAAAACCTCCCAGCCCACTAAAAAGTTATACCTTATTAAAGTGTTGAGCAGTAGTGTCTTGTCCTGGAATGACTTGAAAGCTTTATAGTGAGTAAACATCATTTCATTTTACCATAAAGTTTACTGCATCCTTTCTGCAACTCTTGTTAAGCACTGATTCTGAAATCATTTTCAAAACAAGAGTCTCAACGATTTATCTAACGCTCCAAAATTTACGATCATACTGCCTCTGAATTGTTTAGTTTACTTTTGGACACAAACAAGTCTTCGTTGTATACAGTTTCTCATATCCTGAAGTTTTACTCTCTGTTGCTTGGACACAGATTCAAGATTTTAAAAGAAGTGACTGACTCAGAAAATTTTTGTCAGTTTCTCCTCTTTTAAAAACCCAAACATTTGCATTTCTATGGCATGTAACAACGTTTTAAAATCTGCCCCTCTGTATTTGTGTGTTTTTGTGCATGCGTCTACACAGGAGCACTGTGCTATGCTGAGCTGGGCACCATGATCACCAAATCAGGCGCAGAGTATTCATATCTAATGGAGGCTTACGGCTCTGTACCGGCCTACCTTTTCTCCTGGACTACTGTCATGGTGCTGAAGCCCTCGGCCTTCGCCATCATCACTCTGAGCTTTGCAGAATACGCCTCCACTCCTTTCTACCCCAGCTGTACTCCACCTGTTCTTGTCACCAAGTGTTTGTCAGCAGCAGCCATATGTAAGTTTTACAGCCACTTCTTATGCATAAATGATTGAAAACACTAAACCGCACACAGTTTGGTTATAAATCTAAAGGCAATTTTGACTCGTCTTTTGGATATTTCTTTTTCATCTGTGTGTGTTTGTTAACAGTAGAGCTTGACTGAGATTATTGAAGTTTTAGCAATAACTTTTGGCCGCATGGTTTTAAAGCTGGTCAACCACAAATACAAAACATATTTGACAGCTTATTAGCTAACATCAGAGCACAAATAATCTAAGTTTTCAGCCACTTCCAAGTTAACGTTTATATTCAGAAATCCTAGCATGATGGGAAAGCAAACATATGCACAATTGGTTATTTTCCAGATGACAACTTTGGGAGTTTTGTTAATACTGGTGTCTATTTTTTCAGTAATACAATTTTTAAGTATTGTATGAAGAGACATTACTGTCATACATGAGTAATAAGTGAGTCCTCAGACAGCAACATAGGTGTGCTACCTTCATCACTGGGGATATAAAAGCCTCAATCCAGTAGCGGGGTTAAAAATCTTACATATAAACCAACAATTTTACTTGGGGAAATAAAAAAATGGCATATTCATTCTCAAAGATGAAAAAAAAGCTGTTACAGAGGCACCGCAACTGGCTAACAGGCTAGGATCGCCAACGTATGCAAGAACCTCATACGATGCAAGTATTGTTGGCATGCAAAAATTATGTACAAACAGATGAGCTACAGCATAAAAACAGCATCTCCCACCTCTGTTTGAAGATAAATCTTCCCACAGCGTCAGGTAACAACAAAATAGCTTGAACCATGATGCACCCATAGAAATGATGCCCATCTCAGTACTGTATAAATGATATAATTCTTGTGTTTTTTTTAGTGTTGATTGTGACAGTCAACTGTCTGAGTGTTAAACTGGCAAACTACGTGCAGAACTTCTTCACTGCAGCCAAGCTCTTCATCATTTTAGTCATAGTGGTTGCTGGCATTGTCATGTTGGCACAAGGTGGGCCTCTCTTTTATACAAGGGTTTTTAATGCACAATTCTGTGAGTACAATGCCATTGCTTAATTAAAACACTGACTTATAACATTTAATATTCATTATGTATTTCATTTAACAGGAAAAACAGAGAATTTGTCTGATGCTTTTGTTGGCTCATCTACATCTTTTGGCGCCATTGGACTGGCATTTTATAACGGACTTTGGGCCTATGATGGATGGTAACAGTTTAACTTCAGTTTGACTTTCATTCTGCTTTGTGTGTGAGGTTAGTTGATGAGTAGTGACCTCAAGTTTATGTCTCCTGTGCTTTACCAGCTAGGGGCTTGAGGACACATGGCAGGTTGGCCTCATGCACCCAGTACACTTTTAAGTCATGTGTTGGTCGCAGCAGAGGGTAGACATGTCAGGCTTTAGTCTTTCAAAGAGGCCAACCAGAGGGCAAAGAGTTAACACAGACTACAGAGAAAATACAATACCTCTAATGAAGATGAAAGAGGGAGGGGATTATGATAACACACATACTTGACTGTAAGGAAAAACGGATTTAATATCTAAGTGACCAAGTGAGTCCATGCTTATCTCAGTGTAGTGCTTTGCAGGAAAAAGCGATCAAGTTAAGTGTCTTCAGTGGAAAAAAACACCCTTCATTAATGAAATTGAATGTTCTTTTTTATGGCAGTATACTACAATATGCTCCTTGTTTTCTCATTTCCTTGATTTTCTCTTATCAGGAATCAACTCAATTTCATCACAGAAGAGCTGAAAGACCCATTCAGGTAAAACAAAGTCAAGCATAACTGCTGCTAACTTTGTCAATTGCTGTCAATACCTCAATTGGGTAAATAATCTAAACTCTGTTGTATACATAATCTTCTTTTTGTCTCGAATTTTTTGTCAGGAACCTTCCTCTAGCCATCATCATTGGGATCCCTTTGGTGTCCGTGTGCTACGTGTTGGTCAACGTTGCTTATTTCACTGCAATGACCACTACTGAACTGTTGCAGTCTCCTGCTGTTGCTGTGGTGAGAACTGCTTATTGCTATAGTAACAGGCAACAAGAGCAAAGAAGTTTTAAAATTAGTTGTGTGGGTGTTAAAGTGAAGATAAACATACACTGATAAAAACACCAGGAAGGGACCAGTCATTACCTCACACATAAATATTATCGTATTAGTTTTCTCTCTGGACAGTTATAGATGAAGTCTCTCAGTTAGTTCAGTAGTGATGTACTTCAGTAGGTCTTCTTTCTGAAGGAATCATTTATTGTCCCTAGACTTTCGGAGACCGAGTCCTTTACCCTCTGTCCTGGATTGTCCCTCTCTTTGTTGTCTTCTCCACATTTGGAGCTGCCAATGGAAGCTGCTTCACTGCTGGCAGGTAAACAAGACAATAATCTCATCACATTTGACCTTGACTGATAACACAATGAAAGGTGGTTGACTGACAGGAAGGAAGTAACATAACTACAAAGAAATATGTTGAGCGCATTACATTGCATTATGTTGGTGATATGGGTCCATTTACAGTGGATATTTCAATAAATTCCACAGTGCTGAAAGCAGGAAGCTCAGTGTTTGCAGGCAGACACACCGGTGTGATTTGGTTCCAGATTCCGGCAGCAAAGGTAGAGAAAAGCGATCTATAGGTGGTATTTTTAGACCTGTCAAATATGTTTGGCTCAGTTCATGCAGCCTTATATGGACAACTTTAAACCTGGTGAAAAATACCTCTAAGATGTTTAAATGTGTGTAAGTAGGTTTTACAACAGCTAAACAGAGACTTGAAGTAGGTTTTATGGTAAGGCGTGCTATTTTCTCCTCTAGCATTCATAACGGCGATTGGAAATAAAAGTCAGAGCTTTAAAACGGGATGGGCACCACCTCCTACCAATGAGAGCTTAGTGAGATGACATGACAATGGTGACTACAACTGTACCATGTACAAAAATATGATCAGAGATGTTAGACAAGAATATTCAATGAGCTAAGATTAGGATCATGCTTGGTAAGTCAAGCAGCAAGTTGGGGCTCCATGGCAAATTAAAACTATGTCATTTGCAGTTAGGATCAAAGGTCAATGCCAGTTCATGAAGTACCAATTTCAAAGGTGGAAAGGTTAGTTAATTTGTATGTCAGGAAATGGTTAGGTGTATGAGAGGGGCACACCCTGGCTTCCAACAAAACTGGAGAGGGCAGAGATGTTATCATCTAGGGGTACAGATTCAGTGGTTTGTAACTTAGCCCCAAATCCAACCTGATGAAGAAAGAGGAACCCAAATAAGGTATTTGAGGATGCAGAGATGGCTCTTAGACACAGAGATTATGAATGTGAAGTAAGGCTGCGGTAGCTCGGGCCTTAGTTCAGGCAGGCCAGTGTATAATAAGGCAAAAGAAAGAAGGAAGCTTGTAGTTGAGCAGGTATATCGACAGGAGGTCATTTGGTTAACAAAGGCTGTGACTCGAGCAGAGCAAAGACAATGGTTCAATTTGCAGGGTGTAGAATGAAGGAAGCTTGGCCATATAGAGGAGGTAAAAACAATATCTGTTTGAGGCTATTTAAGATTTGCTATCATCACCCTAAAACACTGGGCAGAGGGAGACTCTTATGTTTGGAGACAGCAACGTTGAGGCATTTTCTGCCAGTGTGTGACATCCTTTTGTCCAAAGGTTGATAAGCATAATCAGGTACTAAAGCTCGGGAGTAGGGCTTGATAGGAAGAAACAACAGGTAAACTCAGGATGTAATCAGGAAAAGAGTGCAGCCATTTGGTTAGAGAGAGAAAAAAACAAAGGAGACAGGTTTTCACGCAGGCATGAGTTGGCCCCCTACAAGATGCTGATGACTGGAAGATGCAGGTAAATTTGTGAGGAAAGCCTGACCCACAGGAAGTAGTCTTCACTAACCTGAGGCCTGACATATACTTTGGTTAATCAGTCAGCAAAAGTTTATTTCATAGAGCTGACAGTGGCTTGGAAAGGAAAAAGTTTACATATGTAAAGTCAGCAGCAGAAACTGATCAGTGAGGTTGGAAATTTAGGAGTTATCCAGTAGTTACCAGAACAGGGAGTGCTTAGACCGAGTCTGCCCCAAAAAAACTGTAAGGAAAGTCATTTGACCTGGATGAGAAGGAGAGTTGTCAGGTTGGGGCTGGAACAAAAGTGTTATACTGTTTATTTGTTCACTGCTCATTTTTCTCCACCACCCTGCTGACCCAGGAGTAGGAGGAGGTATTGCACACAGCCTGGCCCTGCAGGGGTGAGCTCGGGCCCAAAAAGACCTCTAGCACTGCACTGCCTCCTCTATCCTGTTCTTACATCTCTCTACATACTCTTCTCTCTGTTGTCTCTTTTACTCTTTGTCTGGGTGTAGCAAGAGGTAAAAGTTATCATGGAGGGGGGTGCCATATTTAATTGTTAAGTCTCCCTGCAGTGTCATTAGCCTAACTTTACAAAACATTGGTGCAGGAGAGAGGTAACCCAAGATGCACTGACTCTCTCTGCCTGTTTGTCTTCAAGTTTTGTGTTTTGGGCATCATCAGGGACTATGCGGTGGGGTAGGTTGTATCACCAGGTTTTACACTACTTATGGCTTGTACAGAGCCTGGGTCTGTTGAGAACGATAATGCTACAATGTTAATGTTGCAATTAAAAGAGGCACTTGATAACCCTGGTAATGTGCTGTGTCCTGTTGCCCATCTATCTTGAGTGCTGGAAACATTTTGGGCCACATAGCTGGTTATGTAACTTCTTGGTAGAGTATATAGATGTTGGGATCATGGCGTAGAAAAATATGTTTCTTCTCTGAGTGCCTATCCTTTTATTGGAGCATAAATAACATGTGAGTACTGAAATCCCTACCAAAATCAAACTAAACATAAATGTCTGTTTTTTTTTTCTTTTCACAGACTTGCTTATGTGTCTGGCAGAGAGGGTCATATGGTGAAAATCCTATCTTATATCAGTCTGAGACATTACACTCCATCCCCTGCTCTCATATTCAACGTGAGTCTTTGAATGTTAAATATTAAAAAAATAAATTAAAAAAGTATTATCATTTTGGAGACAAGTTCTGTAACTTTATACAGCTTGTTATTCAGAAAAGCACTGATTCTAAATGTCATGCATGTATTTTAAGGTAACTTTACAGAAAAACAAAAATGAAAATAAAAGATTATTCTAAAAAATTGCAATGCTGAAAATTTGAAGATGGTGAAAACAAAAATGTACTTGAAGTGTGGACAAAATAAATGAATAAATAAATAATAGGGCTATGATTAACAAAAATTATTTTTCTCTCCTTTTTCCGTTTAAGGGTATTTTGGCTATTTGCTACATTATCCCAGCTGACATTAACACCCTCATTAACTACTTCAGCTTTGCCACCTGGGGGTTTTATGGACTCTCAGCGCTCGCTCTCATAGTCATGCGCTTTACCAAGAAGGATCTCCATAGACCAGTGAAGGTGAGCCTTATTTTCTACAGTTATAAGTAAAACCTCATCTGTAAGGAGACTACACAAACAAAAGATACATGCCGCCTTCCCGAGGAGAACTGTTGAGACTCTAGACAGTAACAATAATCATAAACCTAATATGATTTTTTTTTACACCTTCAGTCCTTGTTTCTCTGCTCCTGCTTTCATCAGTGAATTTGATATAAGCTACTTTTTTGGCTAATACTTTGTGTTTGCAGTTCCAGGTATCAATGAAGTGCCTGTTTTAAACCCTCTGTTGGGAAACTGCTCAAAATAGTACAACCTTGATATAGTCTAATAATAATAATAATAATAATAATAATAATGATAATAATAATATAATGTCTTACAAGTTGATTGAGCTTTTGTTCCATAGTGCACCCTGTGTTATTGTGTGTTTCCATACTCAAAGGTCCCGATAGTCATCCCGGTCCTCATGGTCATAGTGTCCTGCTACTTAGTTCTGGCTCCCATCATTGATAAGCCAGAGCTGGAGTACCTGTACTGTGCGATCTTCATCCTCAGCGGACTCATTCTCTACTACCCTCTCATCCACCTGAAAGTCAAATGGGCACAAAAGATCATGAGTAAGTTACTTTTATCCTTTGGCTATTCTAAACATACTAATACAATAATACAGTGCTATGATGTACTGATTTTGCAGTGAACACACTTAAATATTATTCACGTAACTTTGACTTCCATCCCCTATAGGTCCTATCACCATGCATCTCCAGCTGTTGATGGAAGTTGTTCCTCCAGAGAAAATTGAATAAAATAGGATGGTGCTGAAAACCAGATCAATTTCTACTGCTTGCTTTTAACATGTCAAGCCTGGTTTTAGAAACAGCAAGCAAGAACAATGGTGCCTTAAAAGCACAAACAGCAGCTCTTGGTTAGGCTGTAAATATTAGGTGAAAAATATATATGAACCATGTTACAGGGGTAGGATGAATTTATAAATCATGTAGGTTTTAAATGTGACAAAAGGCTTTCTTCCACTTGAGTGTGTCCTACTGATGCACCACTGCTGTAAATAAAATGTAAATAGAAAAAAATTAAAGCATACAAGACCCGCAGTGACCATATTCCTGTACTATAGCTCCCATACAAATATTAACAGAAACCTCCTTGTTGTTTTGGTTATACTTACAGTTTGAAGTAGGAAATTATTTTTAGATTATATTTTTTAAGGTTGTACTAGCAGTTTTGAAAGTCATTAAGCAATCATGTAAAACCTTTTCTTCTGTAGTTTATGTGCAATTTATTTGGCCACAGATCAAGTGATGAAGAGCGTCCAAGGATTTATACATGCATGAATTTAGGTTTGAGCAAAGGGAACTTTAACATCTGGTCTGCCATGTGTTATGCAACAAGATGCGGGAACACATTGATTATGTTGCTCCTATGGTTGTAAACCAAAAAACACTGAAACATACTTATGTACAGATATTTGCACATTTTGTAGAATGCTTCAGACTAGGGTATGTATGTAACGGAAACATTTGGTGGTGACAAACATAAAGTGAAATGTTAAGTATCCCTTCTTTGTCTCACTGATCTGATTGCTCCTACACATCTGTGTGCATTCTGTCCATTGCAGAGTAAAATAAGATAAAACAGTAAAACCAGGTTCAGCCTGTGATCAAATATTTTTGTAACATATATAATTCATAGTGAAGAGGTGGTTTTGTGAAATAACATTTGTGTTGGCACTTGCTTCTCACACAGCCAGCCCTGTGACACTGCCATGTGTTGTTACTTGAGATGTTTCTTGTCTGCTTTCTTCAATTCGGTTGATGTTCCTACCTAAGTTTTGTGCTCTCCAATTAAACTGACACTTGTGTTAAAAAATCCTCTATAATGTTAACTGTGTTTTTTAGAAACTGACATTCATGCAGCATTATCACTAAGAGGAGGTGATACAAGCGTTATAAATGTGCCTGAATATGGGGCTTTGACCAATCACGGTCAAGTATAGATGTTTGATGTTACTGTGTTTGACTGGAGGTGGAAATGTACATGAGTTTTATCTATAAAACTGGAGGTACATATCAAACTTCTGAATATGATATTTAGGCCTCTGTCCACATGTAAGCAGATATTGTTGAAAACAGTAGACAAGTAAAAAGAGTTTTTGCCTCTTTGAAAATGGAAGTGTTCAAAAACCTTGTTCAGTTGTTGTTATTGTGTGGATGGAAAAAATGGAAGGCATGCATCAGGATGGTAAACAACCGTTTTATTGAAGTCCACTCTGTACTGTTAGGTTTAATTGCATGTTTACAAGGCAACCTCCCTGGTCCTCATCTTTGTACTGTAGCAATGGTTGAATCAATATAGACGGTGCTCGATTGTTTTTAATTCACCACTCTGAACACAGTATAAATAGGGCTACCTTTAACTGCTGCTCACTTAAGAAGATGCACTCACTTTTCTTTTATAGTGTTTTGATATGACAGACTGACCACACATTAGTACCACTTACATGTCTGACATACTGCTGTGATGTGAGTGTTGTCAATCAATTCTGTTTTCCTGTGGACAGAAATATTAAAAACCATATCTGATGCAAAAATGATATTTAATTTGAGAGGAGGGTGGGAGGGTAAGAGTATGTGTAAGTATTTATGGTTTTAATCTTAGTGGTTGCTCAGTGTTATTTCAAGCATTAACCTGTAAATCAGAATAATGTCATGCTTTATCTGTAGAGCTAGCTATATGTTAAACTGAAAAGCAGTAACTGTACATGACAGCAAGTTTACTCTTTTTTAGTTGTCTAAAGAAAACAAACTTCACAAACTTTCATTTAACCAGGAGAGCAGTGTGAAATATTTGTACTGAAGTTGACTTGTTGGTCTGTTTATATCACAACATGTATTTGTTGTTAGCTGTGTGTCATGCACAGTTGATTTAATCTTAAAAATTTTTTTAATGGAGAATACATAGTAATTTTTTGTAGCCTTTTTAAAAGCTGAGAGCAATAAAATGGGTGTTTGACTGTCTGAAGGCTCTGTTTATCCAGCAGATGGCAGTGCAGATCTATTTAATTTACCTCTATGATGCTGAGAGTCAGTGAGTAAATATCCTGTGTTAATGCTAATAATGTTACTTATTAACATACTCCATAAAGTTGAATAGGTAATGTGTCTTTACAGCCATTGTGATCAGAAGGCATAGTTATAGTTGTAATGGTAGTAAATAAAGATGGAAAGCTTTCATCTTCATTGTAAAAAAAAAAAATCTAAAATTCTGGGTAGTAAATGCCCAATAAATTAAATGCATAATAAAATAAGTCAATGTAAGTAAGTGATAGTTTGTCCCTGGGCAAGCTCAAAGCAATAGATACATAAAGAACACAGGCCTTCAACTTACAGTAATACAATTGTTCTTGTTTGTTGCCATCTAGTGGTAAAGAATCTCCTCAGACAGAACCATGCTGTGCCATAGAAGAGAGAGCAGCAAATCTGCACTGGCTGTGCTAAATAAAAGGACATTTGCAGAAAAGCTGCTCAGTAACTTCTGCCAAATGAGGTTGGAACTGTGCAGAGAAGCAGCATGTTGGTTGTGAAGCCTGTTGTGTTTGGCTCATTTTAAATTTGCTCAGTGCTTTTGTCAAAAGATGCTGTTATGCTGCAGAATCAACTATACAGACCGAATACATGTTGACAAAATAAAGGACTTCTCAGCCGATGGCCAGTTTTAAACTGAGTTATGATTCAGTGCACATAACTGTAACATAACATAATGCTCTGGCTTACATCATAGCTCCTGCTCCTATATTTGGGGGATTTTTTGAAAATTTAGCGTAGAGACGGGCAGTTACATTCTGTTTCATCACTCTTTAATGAAAGAAACAACATGTTTCATTTCAGTCCTGCAAAGGAAAAGTTAAAGTGCACTGAATTTACAAAAAGAAGTTCAGTCTCTATGTGGACTTGGTGTGCTTTTGAGATGATGCAAGAAATCCCTCCATTTAGTGCCATTAGTGTTCTGTGATCAAACATCATCGCAACAGGAATAAAGTGACCTTTTGTGGTTGTAAACTGTAATTGTTCATTTGAAGAGATTCAAATTTAAATCCATTAAATTACAGGGGAAAGTGATTTGTTTTCCATGAGTATATATGTCATGAATGAAAAAGTAGGCTGACAATGAGGCATCATTTATCAGCTGCTGATGGAGTTGAGTTGATAAACAGCTTGCTTCAAAGTCATGATAAATATAAGCAGGCTAAATTGATCAGCTGCATACAAACTGTGTCTGACTGACATTTTCACAAGTCGAAATCGTTCTGAATGTTTTATGACTTGGGATTAGTTTGACAGTTTAACATGCACAATAACAACAATGTAAAGATATGTCTTAATGAGAAAGGTCATGATTTCTAACAGAGAGAGTAATTCGCAAAATCAAGTTGGAACAACAACTTGGAAATTCGCGATCAACATAGTTAACAAATAATGTTTTGTTAATATTAAGGAACTTTTTATGAACTTGCGTACTGCACGTCAGCTTTTTGCTAAAATGGAATTTCTCGCATGACACTACCATTAGTTGTTTTCCACATAGTGACCTAGATTCATTAAAAATGTATTATTGTATCCATAAAAAAAACGTAAGGTACAATAGCAAAAAGCCATATTTTCATATATTAGTGCGCAACCCTTATTAGAAAGAAAGGTAGCCTTTAACCAAAAACAGACAGAGGTGCACATGAACAAACCAAAGTTATTGGAAAGGATACTCAGTTCAGAAACTTACAATTCAAGGAGTACATGAACCGGTATATTTACATACTTGGATAGTTCTGGTGATTGTAACGCCCAAGGTCCTGCTCAGCGGTCTGTGAGTACAGCCACATTAAGACGTTCACTGGCCTTAGATTCCACTGCAGCATTAGATGCATATTCAGAAGTTTATCTTGTAGTTCAGTTATGCAAGTATGATACATGTAATGTAAAAACAACAGTCAAACAACAAACAATAATCAAAATACTGGCACAGACAAAAACTATATGGCATTTCTTTTTTTCCCTGTTAACATCACAGCTGACTATCCCCCTGGACTCTTTAGAGCTTTTGGATAAACTCATGAAACATTATCATTTGAAGCTAGATACAAATTCACCTTACCCACAGGACAGCTGGAGATGAAAACTGGGCACTGTTCATTCTGGCTAAGAAGAGACATAAATAAAAATGTAGGATTCTCCTGTATGTTATATCTGCAACAACTTCCTGATGCACGAATCATTGTCAATCCATTTTCATGCATAATTTTCTTTGGAAATACATCTCAATTGTGGAACCGCCCAAAAAGTAGAAGAATTATAACCCATCTGTGATCCTAATATGTTGACATCAAACTTAACAATAGCGCTCTGGTGAATTGTTGAACACTGATATGTCAATCATCTGATGAAAGCAAATGTGAATCGTAACATACAAAGGGCCGCGGTCTCATTGCATGTGGCTTTGCCTGCTTGGACACATGCACCCACAGTCATACACATACAGTACACTCAAATATCATCTCATTAATGGGTAGACAGCACTGATGAGGACTCATCTGCATATCATTATCATCACATTACTCAAATTTTCCAATCAGACTCTGAATTAGCATTTGGATTAGAACCTTGCAATCATCCAGCGACCTTTTCAAAAAGTGCATTGTAATGTTTCACTAATGAACATATGCTTCAAACCAAGTCTGTACTTTTCTGACTGTGTTTGACAGAAAAAAAAAATCTCAACTAGAACTAGAGAGAGTAAAAGGTAAAAGGTTTTGCTGACGTGTCATCCCTGACGTTTGGCTTGATTTATGAATATTTGGTAATATTAGATCAGATTTAATGGTTAGAAGTGTCTGTAATTAAACTGTAAATGCACTCAACTTGCTGATTTTTCACAACCTAGGGCAGAGAAAATTAAATAACAGTGAAAATAACATTTTCCAAACACAGGTGGGATGAAGTAGCACTTCAACACCCCAGCAGAGGAGACTATTTTGTCAACATGAACTGTTTTCCTCCATTGGAGGGCACACTTGAATAAGCAGTGGCAGTGGAGAGAGCCGGAGCCATTTTCACATACACCGTGATCCTTTTACAGCATCCACATTCATTTTTAACAGACACGTTTCCTAGATTTGTGGCTCACCCCCACCTGGCACCACTCCCAGAAATGTCCTAGCATTGCCTTTAGTGTTGGGAACATTAAGAAAAAATGCTCTTCACGGAAAATTATGATGTTTCAAATGACTGTTTTCTTTTCAAGTGTTTCAGTGATAACTTTTTTGACAGCCTTTAACTCCATACATAAACCCATGTTTGCCTTTCTTCGTGTTCAACCAGAACAAGGTCGGCCCACAGCTCATTAACTTTAAAGCTCCAGTGAGAAGTTTTCGGTTTTGATGCAGACTTAAATGAACTGTAACACATCTTTATGATGTACAAAAGCAAACCAGACCATTACTGACAGGATTGATAACTTCTTTATTGTAGTTTTTCATGGCTGTAATTGTTGTGAGAGGTTAGGTACGCTAAAGAAAACAGCCTTAGCTACTTACTTTCACTGCAACCAGTATTCATGGTTATTGATGCATTTCACGGTAAGGAGATAACAGGAGGAGAGGTGAGTACACACCATGAGGATTAGAGTAAACCAGCAGCAATATTGGGGTTCCTACTTTGTCCACAGGGGGTGCCAGAGTTAACTTAGACAGAAACTTCCTCACAGGAACCTTACGTACAAAACTGCAACTTTTTGTTTTCATCAAGTTATTACATGCAGTAATTGTGTTAATGTTGAATTTAATGTTGAATTTAATGCAGATCAATGTTAGCACAAGTATAAAAGACTGAAAACCATAGAATGGTACAACAGAATGAGCAAAACCTCTTACTAAACTCCGCTAATGTTAGCTAATGTAAATTATTTTTGGAATTGAACTTTTTATGTGTAAGAGGAAAGTGCTTTCACTCTTGTCTCCATAGACTGTATACAGAATGGACAGCGTCTGCCTCCTCTCTGGGTAAAGCCACTCCGAGAACAGCACCCTCTGTTGATGGGCTGCAGTATAGGTCATAAATCCCGCCTCCGCCAGCAAAGCTTATGGGGCTGTAGACAAACTTTAGAAATTCATTACACAGAATATACATTTTTCTTCCCCCTGCTTTATTTTTGGGAGAAGCTTCATATCATATTCATGAGCTAAACGTGTGCTAAACTTGAAAAGTGACAACAAGGAAACCTCAGCCATTTTTTTTTACAATTGGATAAAAGTTTTTTTCTTCCATCTTGGGCTTTTCTTCTGCTTTTAACTCTTCTATTATGAAAATGTCTTCTGTAGATGAAAGAAAGGACTATCAAGTTTAGAGTGCACCCAAATAAGCTTTGAAAAACTTTGTCTGGTACTGAATAGTGTGTCTCCAATACAACCTGTTTTGAGAAAGCTTGCCATCTGGCACCTTGTTTTGTCTTTTTTTTCTCTTTCTATGATGTTCTGTCTAAACATATTCACACAGACACACACAAAAAAACATAGTTGTGTACTGCTCCAAAAAATGTGGATTTGTTTGTTTGCTTCATGCTCCAACCTTTTTCAGGTGTGGACGAGCTGTGCCCAGGGCAGTGGATACTGCTGCTGATAAATTCTTAATAACATGAATTGACCTTCGTTTTCTCACAAACTCTGCCAACTTACGAGGGTTTTACTCCAAACATGACTACTGTTGTGGCTCTCGTAACACTTAGAAAGGAGACAATTAATGACTCCGGAAACCTGAAAATCAGGGAGAGAGTTTTTGTCTGTATCAATCTCTGTTTCGTTAACCTCTTCCCCGCTTTCTCTCAGCCCAAATCCCCTCTCTGTGTGCACCCACTCACACATGCACACACTCCCCTCCCTCTTTCTCCTCCTGCCAGGATTTTCTCTGTATTCCTTTTGATCTTCCTCCTCCCCCCCTCTCCTCCTCGCCCTGTTGAGGTTCTTGGCTAACTTTAATTGAGAAACTTAGAGATCAGTGGCTGATGCCATTGTGAACAGTCACTCACAGGTGAAGCCAAGGTTCATCTTCATTTACATATGCTTTTATATGTGTGTGAGTGAAATATTAAAACCTGTTTGGGTATTTGCATTTTTATGTTTATACTTCTGAAATTTGTATGCACACACACACTCCTCTGTGTTTGTGTGAGAAAATGTCAGGGATCAGGGTCTGAATTTAAAAAATATATACATAAAAAAAAGTGGTGCCTGCTAATTGTGTTGCTGTGCATGCTTCTGCTCTTGCACTAGCTGTAGTTTCTGGCTGTTTAGAAGCTCTTTGATCAGCAGATAGTGAGATGGTGGGGGAGCTGGTAGCGCCGGTTCTCCCGCCTGATAGTCGGTTGGCTCTTCTACAGATTCTCCAAACAGAATTTGTGTGTGAACAGAAGGAAAGAAAGGCAGCAAAAAATTGGGAGAGGAAGGTATAAAAGCAGAGATTGTTGAATGAGAAAATTGTGTTTGGTTAAAAGAGGCATAGGACGGAGATAGAATGAAAGATTGGTTAGGTGAGGCAGGGAACGAGCCAGATTTGAAGGAGTAATGAGGGAGTGCAAACAGCAGTAGATGCCTGGCAGGCTTCTCTCTGATGTTTGTCCTGCTTGTATGTACTTCTTACAAACATAACCACCATCATCT